TGTGCATTTAAAATAAATAGTACATACTATATTCATGTATGAAAAATTAATAGATTTTTGTAGAAAAATTAATAGATTTAAATTTCATAATCAAATAAATTACAATATATTATGGTCAAACAAAAATGTTTAAAGTTTGAGCAAAAATTTAATAAAATACTAAAATTATTAATATTTTTATAAAATAAAACTCTATAAAAATAACTATATATTACAATAGTTTGCGATATGATTGATAAGAACAACTTAATTATTATAAATAATTTATCCACAATTTAAAATAATTTACTCTTAGTAAAAATATAATAAAGAAGCATAATTAAATTTTTAAAAATAAGAACAAATATTACTCACTTTAGAATTCTTTGCAACTTCAAAATCTCTTGGCATGGCGGCAAGCCATTTCTTACGTATTGGGAAATCCAAAATTTAATACTTTTGTACCATCAACTTTGTAAAATCCTCTGCAGTTTGGTACACAGCACTCATATGCAATTATTCATAACACTAAGAATTAAATTAATGCTGACATTTATAACATTTGTAGAATAAATATAAATTTTACGAAGAACGTTGACATCAGAACACCGACGGTTGTTTACAAATTCAAATCAAAAATATTCGCCAATTGGCTGAATGCCGACACAGGTTATAATACTTCAGAATATCGCCAATGGCTCGTTTGATCAGATTCGGAGTTTTTCGTAAAAATAGCTACCCTGACTGGTTTCCCTCTGGGCCTAACTCTACTACGTCATCATCGCCTATAGTAACCCGTTGTGGGGCTTGATTCCTTTGTAGGAGGTATTGGACAAACCAGGGTTTCCGCTACGGTAGCTTTTTTCGCAAAATGCGAAAAGACCCCTCAAAAATGCTAAAATTCAACAAAGCCCTTTCGCATTTTTGCTAAAGGATTTTACTAAATTCCATTAAAAAAAAAAAGCTTCCGCGAAAAACCATGACGCTAACATCCATGAAAAAAACTTGATCAAACAAGAAGGCGAAAAAATCTAAATATCTTTCGCAAGAAGAACCATCGCAAGGAGAATCAAGTGTGAAGGCTTGTATTTCAAGTTTAGAAGAAATAAAAAATGGCACCGGCACTCATTATATGAGTTTTTTAGATGATGTGCCTAAGAAGGAAAGTGAAAAATTTGAGTTTCAGGGCCATATAATTTTAGATGGACTGAAACAGAGGGAAAGATTCCGTAATTTGATGCACAATTTTTTAAACTGTATCATTGAAAATATTACTGATAGATTGGGAGATTTGGATAAAATCGAAATGTTCAATATATACCTAGCAGGATGCCCCATAGTTCGGAAGAATTACAGCATTATGGTGTAAAGGAAATCCGTTGCATTTTCAATTTGTTTTCGGAATCTCCCAGAAAAGATTTTCAGTTTACAGAAACTGAATTACTTTGTGAATGGGGATTATTTAAACACATCTTAATGCAACCTGTCAAAGCTGGAATTCGAACCTGGGTTACCTCATTGGGGAATGCTCGATTCCCTGAGCCACCGTGGCTCCGATTTTACTTTTAATATCTATTTTATGACCAGCGTCGTTGAATATCTGACTCATTTTGTGGAGGTCTACGACTATTAATGCTCAACTCCGTAGACTTGTAATTTTGGACGGGAATTCCTAGATCAAGCATTAAGACAAATTAAACTTCTTGGGGGATTTTTTATGGAATTAAACTGCATTTGCGTTGCTTGGAGTGGAAAACAACGAAAACCTCTCTCGGTTAGATCGATGGCAAGGGGAATCTATTCCATGATTCGTCTACTTTCTTCCGTAGTTCTACAACCTGTTGCAGGTCAAGGCTGTCTTTAAAAGTTTCTTCCCTCGGGAATTATCCACTGAATTAACCGATTAGAGTTAACCGATGGAGAAATATTATTTCTCCAACGCTTAACTCAATGTCATGTGACCACTGAGGTTAATTTACGTCGTTACGTTGGTTGGTACGAGACAGGAGCAAAATTCTTATTAACCAGCCCTTCCTGGTATTTGAACCTGGGTAACATAATTGGGAGGCGAGCTCTCTATTTACTGAGCTACAACGGCTCAGTATTAATAGTTATGTTAATTCCAGAAAAAAAAAAAGATTTTGAATAGTGAAAATATCTTAATACAATTTATCGAGCCGTTTTGGCTCAGGGGATAGAGTGCTCACCTCCTAATGAGATCACCCATGATAAATCCCAGTGATGGTTGGCCGATACGAATTCTGCACCCGGCTCGCACCGACCACAGTGCTGACTTAAAATATCCTCAATAGTAGATGGATTATAGGTTAGAGTTACTGACTTATAGATTGAAAAAAAAACGCAAGCATATTCACAGGAAAGGAAATAATTTAAGCGTTCTTTACTTTTACTAGATACACGCTTTTAATCGAAAATAGATCATAAATCGTATTCATTGATTTATCAGCTGCTAAATCTAATCTGCTCATAAGAATTTTTTTTTTTTAATGCGAAAAATTTTATTTTTTTTCCCTCTCATTACCCTATTGTCATCAAATTTTGCTTTTTGTTTTAATTTTATAGGCATAGTTTTATAGGCTTACTACTCATGGTAATGACCTTAATGGCCATCCTATGTAGGGCCGGGATAGCCTGGTCGGTAGGGCACTGGGCCCATGTCCGAGAGTTCGTGGGTTCGAACCCCGCCGACCGAAGACTCCCCGTGTAGTATAATGGTGACTGGTGCAAGTTAAATCTGTCGAGTCGCAAAGTCCTCCATGTTTCCATAACAAATCAAAACCTCTGGGGGTACTGAATTGGAGATTGATCGTTCTCTGATTCAGGTCAAAATTACGATCTGTGGATGAATTAATGAATGTATGAATGGGTCCGCCCTATAAACGGGCGTGACGTAATGGGTCGCCATCTATGGCAGAAGTCGAATTCTTGGCCATAGATGGCGCCACTGGAAAACAAGAACAATCGCACCCCTCTGCCTTAACAGCCATACGAAAGCAAGCTACCAACCAACCATCCGTATGTATCCTTGTTAATAATAAAGTCAAAAAATCTTATACACTAGGGGACTGAAACTATTATAAGTGAGCGGAAAAAAGTTAAACTGCTATCAAATCACCTCTGAAAAATTTCCAAGAAGAAAAAAAATAAAGGAAGTAAAAAGCAATTATTAGAAAATCCACAAAGCTTCATCAGACAAATAAATTGGTATTGATGTCATTCCGCCTGTCTCACTAGTGAGTCGTCAGATTTCGATGACGTTATTGTTTTTACTCGTGAAAAAATTAATTTTTGACCCCTTATGTGCATATTTTTCTTGCATCAATTTTGACGAGAATTCTAAAAATATTAAGCGTGGTGATTAGGGAACAGTCTACATATTAAATCATTTATTTATACACCTACTACATAAAAAAAATTAAGAATTAGCTAATAGTTTTTAAATTTGAACTAAAGGCCGCGATGACTCAGGGGATAGAGCGTTCGCTTTCAAATTAGGTGAACCGGGTTCGAATCAAGCGATGGTTGGTCGATACGAATCCGCATCCAGCTTGCACCGACCACAGTGCTGACGTGAAATATCCTCAGTGGTTGATGGATTATAGGTTAGAGTCCCTTTGCCGTCAGGCTAACCGTGGGAGGTTCTCGTGGTTTTCCTCTGCATGTAACGCAAATGCGGGTTAGTTCCATTAAAAAAAGTCCTCCACGCAGGCAAAATTTCTCCTAATACTTGATCCAGGGATTCCCTTGTCTTCTGGATTGGGTTCGAAATTACAAGGCTACGGAGTTGAACATTAGTAGTCGTAAACCCAAAAATTGGGTCGGCTGTTCAACGACGGTTATAAAGCTATAAAAAAAATTGAACTAAGGAAACGATTCTTTCTAAGGAATATGAACTAAGGAAACGATTCTTTCTAAGGATTCTAAGGAAACGCAATATTGTTATACCCAAACGTAATATTTTTTAAAATGATCCTTTTGTTTTAAAACCTTAGTTAAAATTAAATTTAAAAACCTTTCTAAATTGATGAAACGGTAACATTTATGAACCTTTCAAATGTTTGATGACCTTCGAAAGTTTGAACATGCATAAGGCACCATAGGACATCAAGCTAGAACTACATTTTACCGATTAAATTTATTCTTCCCATGCTAAGTATTTGTTTCAGCTCTTTTTTTATTATTTCAAAACTCTTAAATAAAATTATTTTTCTAAAGTAAATATCTTACTGTTCATTGTAATTTGAATTACAGATATTTTTGTGAAAAAAAAAGAAGAAAAAAAAGAATTTAACTCAGTTACTAAAACAAATTGCGAAAAAAAACATGCCTATGCAGAGTCGTTTTTAAGGGTGGGTCCGAGCCCAGGGTCCCGAAAAGTAAAAAGTCTCAATAAAAAATTTTCCTTAATTTTTTTTTATCCAACTAATTTGTTTAAAAAAAAAAAAAGAAAAGGCTAGCAAGTGAGAGTGTTTGTGTGAATTCAAATGTTAAAAAAAAAAAAAAAAAATGGGTTCAGCCATGCGTATCATCGATCATGACATGCTGCAGATGGTGGGATAATACGTTCTTGTAGAACAAGAACAGAAAAGGTAAAAAGAACTGAAAGAACTGGACGCCCTATACAGTTTTGGGAAAATTGCAGTTTTGAATGCCAGAGAACAGCAATGGAACAAAGCTTTGTGCTGTCTGTTATTTCTTCGATGCTCCATCCTGTTTTATGTTGCTCGGTTCGTTTTTTATATTTCGAATTAGAACAGCATTAACATTAGTTTGGTCGTGTGCTCAGGTGAGTGTTAGAATCAAAGCATATCACCTGTATCAGTTTTATTGCGATTTCACCTAACAAGTTCTGATTGTGAGTATAAATTTATTACGCATATTTATTGATTATCGTTGAAATGATGCACTCAAATGGCGTAAAATATGATCGATTGATTTGAAAGTTTAACTACTAAAATACGTTTATCTTTAGAGTAAGTAATTTTAATTAGAAATTTTTTTCCTTAAATTGGTGTCGATCTTTTAAAAAATTTTCAATTTTATTTCTTTTTTTGTTTGGCAAAAGCTATTATTTCAGGCAAAAGCTTAAGCGTGTTTTTAGAATAAATTTTAAAACATTTGTTATAATTTATATATATATCAAAAATAGCAATTTTCAATCACGAAATTAGTTATCTTTCTGAAAATTGTAAAACATTTATAGTGCTTTTACGCCTGTGTGTGTTTCAAGGCTCAAAAAATTGCAACTCTTTTAGTTTTGTAATGTTTCTGATGCCGCCTTTTCTCAACTATTAGCGATGCATTTAGTTCTGAAAGTTGCTTAAATGATTGGTAACATTCTAATGTGTGCATTTTAGAACATGTTACAATGATTTGCTTGTCAAGAAAAAGAATACTTAATAGATAGAGTTTTAATTAATCAGACGAACAACCAAATCAACTATTGAAAAGAAGTATTCTGGAGAATTGTAGAAGTGATAAAATTTTTAGCATCACGAAGTATGCATTCCATGAATACAATTAAACTATTGGATTGCAGCAAAATGAAAATTTTGGAATTATTGGGTAAACTTGACCCTTTTCCTGCATAAAAAATTATGGGAACGAGGGCAATGGACATACATCCTATTTATCAGCTTCGATTTGTAATCAATCGAAGCTGAATCAATTGTGGAATATAAAGTATAAAACGAAATAATTGCAGAATTAACGAAAGCAAAATATTTTTCAGTAAGTATTGATTGAATGCTAGACATTTCCCACGTAGATGATTAGCTCACATTAGCTGTCCGATATGTGAACAACGGAATTCCCGTAGAACGTTTTTTTTGATTTTTTTTCCAATTGAAAGGCATAAATCTGAGTACTTGTCTGATACTATTGAATCTTTTCCTAATGACCAAGGCATAAATATCAGTGATTGTCGAGTACAAACATAAGATTTTGATTTTAAAACATTAAAATTGTAAGTTCGAATTCTTGTATTTTATATATATACACATTCTTGTATTCTATGTATATATATATTTTCTAATGTATTCTCTAATTCTTGTATTTTATGTGTATATATATATATATATATATATATATATATATAGAATTTATGCTTGAGTTAGCTTTGATTTCATTTTTAACTTGATTTTTATTCCTTTAAACATACTTAATATGATTTTTTTTATATTGTAAAACGAATCATGAAAAGAAAAATATATTCGTAAGTATTACACATGTTATATGAATCATTTTCACTTTGTTACTTTTTGCTCGTTATTCGAACTCTTGCGAAATCTCTCCCACGAACTCTTATTATTTTTTTTTATTTAATGATACGATGATTATATTATTACTTACAAATTCTAAATCTATCGTGTTTCGTCTGGATCTAGAGAAATCAGTTATATTACGCATTAAATATCAGCAAAATGGCTCAGTGAAATGCGTCGCAAATTAATTCGGATTATACTTAAGTAAGCATATTGCAATTATCTATAATACATGTAATATTAAACGTAAATACTTAATGAGCTAAAATTTCACTAATTAAAAAAAATTACATTAAATGTTTATGCAAGTTGAAAGGGAAAAGGAAATGTAAAATAAAAATTAAAATTTGTCAGATATTTTAATTTTATAATACATGTAATTACTCAATATTTTATGTAATTAAAAAAATTAGAACTAAATTAAACGTTTTAGTAAGTTGACTATATAAGGGAAAATGAAATGTAAAATATTCGTTATATATTTATAACTATATAATACATGTGATTATATAATATTTAATGTAATTACTTAATGTAGTAAAATTTCATTAATTAAAAAATTTGGAATTAAATTTATTTTTTTGTAAGTTGACTAAATAAGAAAAAAAATATAAATAGCAATTGTTTATTATGTTATTTATTTTGTAGTTACATATTTTTTTTTAAATATGTTGATAAACTCAAGTAATTAAAGTCACCAACAATTAAAAATATTAAAATTCAAGCTGCACATTAAGTGCAGGTTCGTTGGGAAAATTACGTGGATGTGAACAGATTGCTTTTCTTGATTATCATCATTAATCATTTTTAAGAAAAACATCAAAACCAGTTTGATTACTGGGTCAAACTTGCAGATTTTTTTAAAAATCGTCTTTCAACTCCTCTATTTCCTCTTCTAATTAAACAGGTTTTAATGTTTTCAGTTCCGCCTTCCTAAATAGAGATTCGTTAATTACCAATTGAAGTTTTTGTTTTTTCCACATTTAGACACTGATTTGAAAAATTATCGTTTGAAAGTGAGTCGTGTTTGGCAGATTTAACCTTTAACGCAGGAAAAGACTTCATGCTGCTTTTCATAAGCAGGGGTGTGTCCAGACATTTTGTGAAAGATCCGGTTTTTGTGAAATTGTGAAAAAATTACTCACATACTTTCAACCAGCGTCCTACTTTTATGAATTTGTGCAAATAGGGTCCGGTTATTGCAAAAAACATTTTCAAGAAGTTTTTAAATTGTTAATAGATACAAGATTATGCTCAGCACTTTAAAATTATAATAAAAAAAATTAAATTTTTAAAAATAAACAGCATTTGCTGCTTCAAAATTAGAGATGCAACATACAAATATTTGGTGTTTAGCCTATACTGCTGAACGTAGAATATTCATTTCGGACGAATAATGGAAGAATCGTCTGCCGAAGACAAAACTTAATTCGTTTACCTCTATCTTTCTTGTTTTCTGCCCTGGGAAGGGTTTATTCAATTAACAAGACAATAATGAAGATTAACAAGTTTGTGAAGGGTCCAAATAAAAGAAAAATCATTTTGTGAAGGGTCCGTTTTTAAGTTAAAATATTTCGTGAAGGGTCCGTTTTTATGAAAAGATATTTTGTGAAGGGTCCGTTAACGGACCCAAATTTCTTCTAAACAGACACCTGCCTTAATTAATCCTATATCCTTGTTAATAATGAAGTCATTAAGGTATATACATTAGGGGACTGAAACTAATGTAAGTTAGCAGGACAAAGTAAAACTGCCATCAAATCGCTACTGAGAGAGGCGGATATCCAAGGAAAAAAAAAAAAGAAGTGAAAAGGGATTATCAGTAAGTTTCATAAGACAAATAAACTGGTTTTTATGTTCTTCGTACCGCCTTTGTCACTAGTGAATCGTCAGATTTCAATATCGTTATTGTTTTTACTCACTTAAAAAATTAAGCTAGCTAAGCAGTTTTTAAATTTGAACTAGAGAATCAATTCTCATTATGTTGCATTATTGTAATACCCAAACGTCATTTTATTATTTTTTTTATTTTTTTTTTATATATAAATTATCCTTTCGTTTTAAAACTTTTATTAAAAGTAAATTAAAAAAAACTTCTGAATTGATGAAACGGTGACATTTAAGAACCTTTAAAATGTTTGGTGACCTTTAAAAGTTTTAAAATGCATAAGGCACTGAATTAGATCAAAATGGAACTACATTTTACCCATTAAATTTATTCCTTTTATGCTAAGTATTTGTTTCAGCTTTTTATTTTTATTTCAAAACTCTTAAAAAAAATTCTGATTGCATTTAATCTGATGAATAATTAATCTGAAATACTCCACATTTGATAGCTCAATTTTTGATGGGATATTTATTTTGCTACCTTGCATTTTACAATAATCGAATGATAGTGTCGAAGAGAGTAATTAATTACCCATCAGAAGTTTATTTTTAATTTTTAATTTCTATAATGGACATAGAACAGCTGACCCTATTCCAAATAATTTTATCCCAATGCTGTGTATAAAAATAAATAAAGAAATTAAAATCGCACTAGACAGATTAATGTGATCAATATGTTAAATTTTCTTTTAGTAATATTCATTCAAAAAAAATTGTTTTGATACGTAAAACTTTCATTCGGGCTTGTATTTTTCAGAGAAACGTGCCCAGTCATGTCAAATGTTGAAATTTTTTATGCTCTGTAAAATATTAGATATTCTACGCCATTTTGATTTATGCTGTGTTTACAAGAGTTGAGTGGATATTAAAATCGTAAATAAAACAATAAATAAACTATATTTTACAAAATATCAAATCAAATCTCTTTTTCATGGTTTCTCTTCATCAAAATAAAATCACATTCACTTTGAAAAAGTCTTTGATTTATTGCTTTAATAATTATCTACCGAAACCTTTTTCAGAGAATTGAAGATTAAAAATATGTATTCGCGCAAACGATAAAAAAACGGAGAATTTAGTATATTGTCTAAATAAAATTTTTTTATTTCTTTCATGGTAGAATACAAAGGCGTGATTTTTTTTAAAACTAAAAACACATACTTTAGTGCTGTGCACAAAAAAAAAAGATAAATTAGAATGACTTTAGATTTAATGATCATATATTTTAGCGTACTAGAATTCTTGCTTATTGATTCGTGGGCCTTTAAATATGCTAATCAATTTGTGCAGGTGATATTTACTTTTTTTCCCAACATATTTGGATTCTTGATCCACAAAATGTGGGATATAACAGCAATTTGGAATTCTTTTTTTTTTTTGGTTAATGGCGGGCACTTGGGTATATTTCCCATTGGTCTCAGGAATGCCAGAACTGCTACTCTCTCTTCGTTATCCAGTGAGCACCTATGGCCAAGCCACGGCGGTGGATCAGCGTCGCCCACGTCACACAACCACAAACCCGTTTATAGGGCGGGTCACAATCACACAGAAGAAAGGACATAGAACGCAGAGAGAGAAAGAAACATCCATGTCCTGAGCGGGATTCGAACCCGCAACCATCAGCTCCGCAAACACCACCTGATCGGCATTTGGAAAATATAATCCTACTAGTTTCTTTAGGAGTGCGGTTGAAAGTTTAGTTCCC